TAAGGTAATACAAATGAAGGCAACATAGAGGCTGACAAGATGAGCGTTTGGGGAGGCAATGGGGAGAAGTGATTCATATTTTTAATTTACTGTACGGATGGGCCGTGTGGCTGGGGAGCGGGCGGCTCACATGGAGGGGGTGTCGCCCCGCGATGTTTGCTGGGCTCTGAGCAAGCACACAATGACTATTAAACTCAACTGTCCATATAATGGGACAGATTCGACACGATGACGCCCACCGAAGCACCAGTAGCTGGCCGACCAGGCTGTAAATTCTGTCTATGCTGCACCCACCTGCCCACCTGCCTGCCTAGCTAGCCATCCCCAGGGCAGGGCAGACACAGTCCCCAAGGACCTGAAACGGCCGTGGACCTGGGGAATCCTAGCGACTAAGATGACTCAAGCTCCTTGCTGCGCTGTGCTCAGGACTGGGGTGCTGGAAACATGTCCTGCACGTGCTGGGGTGAGAAGGGCGGGAGCCCGCTGCTCAGGCTGGACCTGGATGCCAGGAGGAGATGGGGCACCGTGGCCCCACAGGTGGTGTTCTGGGAACAGAAGACACTAGTGTCCTGTTCCAGAGAGAGGAATTAGCCATTGTCGCTATCATCATCATTTACCAAGCACCTACTATGCACCAACCTCTAGCCATTACCATCTTCCAAGTCCTCACAAGCAGCCTGCAGGAGGCTGTCACTTGTACTTTACACATGAGGAAACTCAAGCTGAGAGACAGGGAGTGATGTGGTCACTCACACGACCTCATCCCATACTCCCTGAGCCCTGGAGGTGACCTTCGATCCTGCAAACTCTGTACAAGGCATGAAGGCTGACAGCCCACCACCTCTCACCAAGTGCTCTGGACCCTGAGGCCTTAGACCTGGAGCCCTCTGGGGACAGGGCTGTGTGAGTGTGCCAGGCACGCACTCTTACTCTCACCACAGCCAGAAGAAAGGTGTCAACACATCCCAGGCGGGCAGGCGGGATTCCTGCTTACTCACTCTGCAAACAGAGCCGAAAGATGCTCGTCCCTGGGATGAGAGACGCAAGTGTAATTTAGGTTTTGATATTATGAAAGTCTCGCTGCTCTAAAACAGCGGGGCACTCGGTGCCTCATTAATAAAGGATAAACTCGGAATCTATTTACAAGGCGCTTTTTGGGGTTATTTACTCTCCAATATACATATGTAATGTTGCACATACTTACCGCTAGGTACAGCTCATCCTTCCAGCTTGGGCCTCCCAGCTGCCCCGGGGAGGGGGTATCCCTCCAGGGAGCAGAGGGTCACTAGGGAAAAGGGGAAGCTGAGGACCCACCCTAGGCGTGACAGGCCCCATGGAGAGGTAGTCACAGAACCATGGAGCTGGAAGTAGAAGGGCAGAGGTGTACCCAACTGTCCCCCTCCAGCCCCTGCCCTTCCTGAAATCTCCTTGTGCTACCAGCCCTGTTATCTCCAAGGCCAGCTCCCCTAAAGATAAGAAACAGCTTAAACTCCTCTGTCAGGCATTGGAGGCCCTCCCTCCCCTGGGACTTCCCCCCTTCCTGAGACCAGCCTGGCCAGATCTCAGCTTCTATTGCCTCACCTCAGTTCCTCTCAGCAGGATGTCCTGGGCAACACTACACACATCCTATGCCACTCTGTCACGATCTTGCCACCCTACCACCCTGTGCCCACAGAACCTGGACTTGGCAAAATCTTCCTTGAACCAACATGGAATCCCTCTCCTGGCTCCTGGTGCCCATTAGCCCAGCCATGGTGGGAATCAGTTTTGTCCAGCTGCCCAGCTTTTACCTTGCTCCACAGTGCCAATTAGCCTGGACATCACTTAGTGGATGAGTCTGGGCAGCCATCCTATGTGGTAGGATGCTTTTTATAAGTAAGGAACTGAGGTCAAGAAACTTACCCAGTGCCACACAATCAGTAAGCAGTTGCAACCAGGATTTGGATTCTTACCCCCATAAGCCTCCTCCAGTTCCTGGGCTTTTGCTGCCCATCCTAGGTCCTCTGCTGAGCGTGGGCTCCAATCAGCCTGTGGCTTCCAATGCGGAGTGTGGATTTCCTCTCACTGGACCATCACTCCGAGTCACTTATCACCCACCACCTGCAGCCTTGGGCCTGGGTGGTTGTAGATGTACGAGGAAGTAGATGCCCCTGCCTTTTTCAAAGATCCTGGTAATTCACAGGGGAGCAGGGCTGCCCACATGCATGTGCCCAGTTGGGGATTGTGACTTCATGTGCTTGTCAGGAAGGTGTGGCGAGGGCTCCATCTGCGGATGGTGATGTGTGTGTGTGTGTGTCAGAGTGCGTATGTATGGGGGTTTGGGAGAGGCAATGCCTGGCCAGCTTGGAACAAGGAGACATCTGGTGGCCAGTAGGAGACCTGCATTCCACCCCACACCCCCACTCCCTGCAGGAGTCCTGGGTAGAGGTGTCAGGTCTACCTACTCTCTTGGGAATCCCTGATGGGGTCCAGGACATTAACACCCTTGGGGTGGAGCTGGTGGCTGCTCCACAACTCCATGCATGGGACTCAGTGAGAAGAGAGCTGGTTCTTGAGTCTCCTTCTAATCTTTAAAGTTGGGGAAGAGTTGACCCAGAGGGTCAGGACAGGGGGAGGATGGTGATCAGGAGGATCTGATCCATCATTGGTGGACAATGAGCCGTCACTCTCCTAATTGAAGATGTAATTACAGCAAATACATTCTGGTCTGAGAATGAATGGTGGAGGGCAGGAAGGCACCTTGTGGCCAGCAGCCAGGAGATGCCTCTTTCCCAAAGCTCCTCCCTCAGCTGGGGAATCCTTCCCTCAGCAGCCCCGAGTAGGTTACGGGGCACCTTGGTGCCTCCAGACAGGAAGGGATTGTGACTGGAGTTGAGGGGCCAGTCAAGGGCCAGGGGCTGCTGATGCCTGTGGCATGGGGTAGGGCAGGGAAGGAGTTGGCATCTCTGATGAGCAGAACAGAGCACAAAGCAGGATTTCTAGGTACACCTGCTTAGGGTAATTGGACCATGGTCAAGGCCCTACAGGGTGGGTTCAGGGGTGAGCCTGGGAGGCTAAGCCTACGCACAAGGAACCACAACTCTGGTGTATCATGTTGTTTTGGTCTGGTACAAATTCAGGGACCAGGACAGGGTGGGTAGGGACTCTATTGAGTGCTGGTTTATCCTTCCCTGGGAGTCAGTGTACAGGGCAGGCGACCAGCTACCCAAAGTGAGAAGAGATGGCCTCTGACCAACCTGGTTTCTGCTGTTCCCTCCTTTATCACGCAGGTGCCAGGCCCCTACCTGGGACCACATGTAAGTTGTGGATACTGATTGTCCCAGGAAGGCCTGATGTTTGGGACACTTTCTTCTCCTAAGGGTTCCAAGGCCTGTTTGCGGAGGCCCCAGCTCCACTTACCCTCCGGGAAAACCCTGAGTACAGGCTCAAATCTCTTTGAGGTCAGCCAGATCTGCAATCACCCCAGGGCCAAGGCGGGAAGGCCTGCTCTGATGAGGAGCTTGGTGGCTTCAGCTACATCTGCTGTGGTGGCCCCTAACCAGGTCTTTCAGAGTGTGTGGGCTGACCCCAGGGAACAGAGGATGGGTGGGGAATGGTGGGGAGCTGGGCAGGCAGGCAGAGGGGAGGGAGGGAAGGCCACTGACAGCAGAACAAATGCTTGTAATTTTATAACCAATCTCAGCGTGTCCGTGGGGGGCCGTTTGTGCCTCCACTCAGGACCAATCAGCCTGACAGAGCTATGAGTCTGCCTGAGTGAGTGTGAGCAGCTCCCCCCAACGCCACTTAACTGCAATATCATTACCCACCCAGCCCAAGACCAACCAGAGAGGAGGGGCTGCAGGGAAGGGGGTCCCAGGCTGAGCCAGAGTAGAGCTGAACCAGGCTGGATCCTGGGCTGGGGCCTAGAGGGTGAGGGCACTGGGGATTTGGAGACCTGGTGGGCTAGAGGAAGGGGGAGGAAGAAGGCAGAATTCCAGGAAACAAACAGTAAACACCAATGAGTGCTGAAAATTTAGTGGGGAGAGGGCACAGCCCCTGCCCTCAAAGGGCTTGCAATCTGCTCTGGGCTGTGGGGAGATTACAGATGGATAGGCCCTGGGGAAGGTGGGCATGCAGAGAGAAGTGCCCTGAGGATAAGGAAGCTGAAGAGAACAAGCAAGACAGGACAAGAAAGGCAGAGCTGCAGAGTCAACCTGGCATGGGCCAGGGACTGGAGGAAGAGAGGGAGGGAGAACGAGAGAAACTTCCAGAGTGCATGTAGACAGATGGGAGAGAGAGACACCACCCACGGGAGATGCCGGCCAGCAGTGGATATTATAGGATGGCCTTGCTGGATATCTGGCTCTGGGGATGGCCGTGTGCCCATTAGTCTCTCTAATTGTCAAAAATCTAATTTAGTGTCTGGAGCCCAGGCCGGCCTCGGGTTAAATGGAGGGAGGCAGGCCTAGCCATAAATCTGCCCTCCCAGCATGGGCTGGTGCTAACTCTGCAGTTAAGTGAAGGGGTGAGGAGGGCTCAGGAGAGGGTGTCCTTGGTGACCCTGTGTGCCAGCCCCCGTGAGCTAGGTCACAGCCAGGTCCTCCTCTCTGGCAGGAGGAAAGGGCTTGCTTGGGCCTTGCTTCAGCCATCCAGGGGAAGTGCCTCAAGTCTGAGGTGAGCTCAGAATCAGCTGAGTCTCTTGGGTGCAGCTGGGACTCTAAAACCATGAGCCCCCAAGGGCTGAGGTGTAGCTCAATGGTACAGCACTTATGTAGCATATGTGAGGTCCTGCCCCAGCACCACAAAAAAACAAAACCTCAACAACAAACCATCCTGGGCCCACTCAGGGTCTATGTGGGTTCCATTCTTACAAAGGGATTGGGGACAGTCCCTGATTGGTAGGAAAGTCACATGTCCTACATAATACCATGAGCCTATGGTGAGGAAGAGGGCATGGATATTCATAGCATATGATGAAATAACTGGCCATTTTGTTTGCTAGGTGACTACTGGCGATGGCTTCATTCACAGGGACCATGTGACATTCACACCAGATGCTTGGGGAGTGATTCCTTAGTGGTGTCAAGAATTCTCCCCACTGGGCTAGTTGGCTTCTGGGTGAGGTGTCCAGGGACTTCAGCAGTCCCTCAGAACTCCTGTGGCCTGAGGTAGTGATGGGGGCTCTAGTTCTGGGCTTGGTAATGACCTCACTCCCCTTGGAGCTGTGAATTGAAGGCAAAGGGTGTGGTAGGCTGAGCGGGAGAGGTTGGGAGACCAAGACAGTTCCAAGAGACTCTGCTTCCATGGGGGGAGGAAAACAATTTCTCCTGGCTTCAGCTCCATCTCACCAGGCACCACCGGCCTCTCCCGCTGCTGACGAAGTGCCTTTAATTAGCAGTCTAATAAAATGCTTTTAACTGGCAATAGCCAAATCAGGAAGGGAGGTCTCCTCCCTTCAGTCACTGTTGATGGCAGCACAGCCACAGGTTTATGGGGGAGAGGGATCACAGGCCTAGCCTGGCATCAGGAAAGGTAGCTAAAGGGCTGTTTCCTTAGACACACCCTAAACCTCCATTCCTGGGGGAATCTGACACTTATTTGAAGGCAAGGCCCACAAACTTAAGCTTAGGCTCAGGTTACAATGTTAGCAATGATAGCCTCATGCTGGTGGCCTACCTACCTCCTTACACTCATTTACCAGGAGAAGTGCTGCTCACTTGGGAGCAGCACTGGTCACCCTCAGGTGGGTCAACTCTCAGCCTGTGGAGCCTCTGGAAATGCTTCTTAAGGCAAACTCACTCTTCTGCAATAAGACCAAGTGGGATGTAGAGGAGACCTGTCTTTTCCCCCCTAGAGGAACAGAGAAAAACTTAAATTAAGGACTCAGGTTGGCTATGATAACCAGCTTGCAAAGTAGACATCATTTTGGCTTCAATATGATCCAATATGGAACATGACTTGCATGCCAGGGTCCCCGTATTTCTTCACATCACCCAGTCCTGATTTCACCTGCTCTCCTTTTCTCATGTGAGATTGTCTTAAATCTACTGTGCATTCCTTAGATTTGTACAGCGAAAAACTTACTGTCCTTTTGATGTTGGGTCAAAGAGACAAGACACTTAGAAGATTCACTTTAATCTTGTATTTGTAATTTATGTTTTCTGAACAGTTAAAAAAAAACCATAAACACATTCTGTTACCATGATCCTAGGTTGTGAACATATTGGTACATTGACTATACATCACCGTAACATAATCACAAAAGTCAAAGCAGTCAGTACTTAAGAATCTAGAGAACAAAGAGCTGAACCAACAAAAGTTCTCAGGGAAGTTCACGTGTTGCCAGGCCTGTTCCCACCACTGGAGTCCACTGAATGTCCCTTAGATGAGTGTTTGAGCTTTAGCAATCACTACTTTGGGAAGGTGTTAGTTTCCTTGGTACCCAGAGGTTTAACCTCCTGGTTGGTCTTTTCCCTCACTGTCCATGGAAGGCACACCCTTACCCACACACCTGTTCAGCAGTTAAGAGAGCCAGCTGGGTTGGTTTGGATGTCACCTGCCTCCAGAAATTTTTGATCATAGGTGCTGGACTAGAAAGGATTTCTAGATATCAAAGCAGTAAGTTCCACCCAAAATCAGGCAGTGCTGATCATGCTCTTTTGGTTTTTCTTCCCACAGCTCTAAGGACATCATAAATTAACTATAGATCAAAGATAACCAGAAGCAAAACCCACTTTTATTCCCCTGAGATGGCTGTCTTTCTGGCACTGATGGAGATTGTGGTTAGAATAAAGGGTTCTGGACTGTCAATGATCAGCTGTGTGGATGAAGCATAGGGAGATGAACCCCCACTGGTAGCCTTTGGGAAGTCTGTTGAACTTATCCAAATAGGAAAGGGAGGTCAGCAAGGTGGATTAAGGTTATATGGTAAACCTAACCACCAAAGAGTACGTCAGTCCCAGGGTTCAGGAATCTACACAGTTCATGTTCTATCCATAAGTATCCTGGATTACTTCAGAATCAAGCTTGCAATCTAAATCCTAAGGCCTGCAGTATTTTGGGTTGGATTGCTTCCACTTCTGGGCTGAAAGGCATCACCATCTAAGGCAAAAGGAAGATGCTAAGAAGGTCAATTAATACCAAGGTATTTAATCCAATTCTAGGAAAGAAAAAAAAAAAAACAGCCCAAATTATTTCCAATCTTCTACACCCTAATCCACACAATCAAGTGTTAAATTAGGAGTAGACCAATTGTAGATGTTCAGACCCCTGGTACCACAAGATGGCAAAGGGATGATGGCAAGGGATGAGTGCCTATTTCCTTCTCTGCAGTTTTAGATTGTACCAAAATTTTTTTTTTCTTACAGAATGATTTAGGAGTCTCAGTGTCTTTTCCAGCTCAGAAACAAGTTGTAAGGGCCAGACTTTACTTGTCAAGAATCTATGTCTCTACGGTTAGGACAAATCAGAAAGAATTTAGCCAACGGACAAGTGCAAAAGGTCTCCCATCCATAATTCACATCCACTTTCAAATTGCACTTAATAGTAAAAGGATTCTCTCAGCACTGACATACATACATGAGTAGCAAGGGATGCTGGTCTTGTCCAAGCAGCCCCAGTGTGAACTGAGAGGTCACACATGTTCACAGCAGGCACAACCATGTGCACATGCTCCTTACCCACCTTAGAGGGGGCTTCAGTCCCTCTTTAAGAAAGGGGTCTTTCAGGCTGTCCAGTGGAGCATGGATTTTGGTGAAGACACTAATCTACAAATGGGGACACTTAATTTCAGAGCAAAGAGACACCTTCAGTGTCTTCTGCTGTCCCTTTAAATGTGTGGAGACTTTGTTTTGCTTTTCTTTTTAAAAAGGTCAAACTTTACATTTATTCTAGCCCAGTTGGGGATTAGTGATAATCAATTCCCACTGAAATCATGCAGAGATGGTAAGTGGGATTTACCTTCTCTGGAAATGAACTACTTACCTGATTATTTCTTCTACAATGAACTGGTAAATGACCCCCAAAGCTGAGAAATGTGAACGATTCAAGTTTTTCAGACCACTTAACTTCATTCCCATTTCTATCAGTAGCAGAAAGGCTAACTTGGAGAATAACCTCAACTGAGTTAACGACTCCGCATTTGTAGGGCCCACCCCTGATCTCAAGCACAATGGACTGGATGAGTTTCACAACTGATTTAGGTACAGTGCACCTTCAGCCGAACCTAGAAGGGAGGCAAAATCCTGGGCACCAATGAATATTCAACAACTCCTTTTTTCTTCCCCCCATGCTGGGGACTGAACTCAGGGGCTTTGTGCATGCTAGGTAAGTGCTCTAACACTCAGCTACATCCACCAGTCCTGCTCCCACTTTTGAATAGCAGCATATAACAGAAGGGCTAGTAAAGTTATGGCTATCAGACAATATTTGAAACAGCCTCACACCCATGCCTCTCTCATGTCTGACCTGTGTGTTTTTCAGGGCTGACAGCCCTCTATCTTCATCTGCAGTAAAATCCATAACCAATCAAAAAAGCTAACGGTCAACATAACAGACAAGAACCCTGATAGTGGCTAGTAGAAAACAATACTCTAGCATTTGGATAGTTGGGAAGGAAATTATACTGAGAAATTTTCCAGGCAACAGCGTATCAGTACACTGGGAAGTGTAACTGAGACCAAAAGCTTAAAAATATTCATAAAGCAGAAAAGAAAACACTGCATATGCATAACCTGCCTCTCAATGCGTAACAACATTCAGTCTAGGTACATTTTAGGAAGGGAATTTCTTGCAAACTAGAGGGAAGAGTGAAGATGCCCCTCTTCCTTTCCCTCTTGGCTGACCTAAAGGTGGCCTGGCTACAGGTCACTTAAAACTGGCTCCCATTCTGCTGTTTTTATAGCAGCTGGTTAAAAAGTGGCTTTCTTAAACCCAACTGTGTGGATCAGAAACAGAAACATGGGCCTAAAGGCTCAGCTTCCAAGGGAACAAGGAGAATGCACTGTGACCTCAAAGCCTAAGGGTATGCCCAGGCCACCCCTTGGCAGGCCCACTCATGCCTGCGGAAACATGCTGGAGATGCAATTACAGTGCTCTCAGGCTTGTGTGGCACCTGGAGTCCACCAGCTAGAAAGTCCACACAGCTGCCTTCCAAGTGGCTGGGTTAGTCTGGTCCTTGGGAGGAGGTCCATTTGTTTATGTTGTTCACCAACTGCCAGAGAAATTTTATTGGTTGGGAAAAGTGGAGAGCAAAATAAGGCCAAGAGGAAGAAGAAAAAGAAAGAGAAGGCAGTTTTTGCCTCATTAGTAAACCCTGTGTGCCAAACTTCACCCTGATCATCTCTTTCTGGCAGCTTTGCCTTTTTGCAAATTACTGGATGTGAGAGAAGCAGAAGGAAGGTTCTGCAATGCAAGGATGAGATGGTTAGATTGATTTCTGAGAGATGATATTTACTGGCCTAGATATAAATGAATCAGCTTTCACTCCTGACCATCTCTTAAGCTACTCCATTTGAGGTCTGGGAAGTTACAGGCGCCTAGGTGCTCACAGGATCGGTTGAGGAAATAGAGATGAGAGCCATGATACAGAATACACTAAATGGCTAGCTCTGGCCACTTCCAGCCTTTCTGTAGGCCAAGCCTTGCTAGTGATTGAAGATGAAGCACAATGCTTTTTATTACACATCTAATTGTTAACGAGAGGAAATGCAATCAGCAGCTTCTTTCCACAATCTACATGGAATCGAGGACACTGCTGAGTCCAGGAGAAGCAGCCACTGTCAGTGCCCAGGACATTTTTGTTCCCTCCCCTACAGGCAAGGGGAAGAAAGGGATGAGAGTAGACTTGAAAATATGATGAGAGTGTCATGTCTATGAATCCACTGCTGTTTCAGGGTCACTTTGGGTGTGAAACTGTGACCGTATACACATAACTCTTCCAAGTGTCACATTTTCTAGTGGCTCTGCGTCATGCTAGCTGCAGACACTCTCTTCACATGCCTTCTCAGGTTGAAAAGGATTTGTGGGGAGCAGGGAAGAGGGACAGAAACAGACAGTGGAGGGAAGCAGCAGGCCCAGTTCTTCCAGTGTGTGTATTCCTTTTACCCAACCCCCTCTCCTTTTCTCTCTTCCTGAAGTTGTGCAGAGGGCTCCACATAGTGGCTGGGCTGCTCTGGCCAGGCATAGGGCACAGGACCACTCCTGCAGTTCACAGGGGACACAAGGTGCTGTCTGCCTGGAAGCTTCTTTCTCCTGTCCCCTTGAAGTGGGCCATATGGGAAAACTAGTTCTGCTTAATGGCAAAGCAAGAGAGATTCTGGCAAAACACTATATATATTTATAAGTCATCTTTGTCTGGAACCCAGTGAGAGAGAAACAGGTGCAGAGGGGGAAGAGGGAGGAGAGGAGAGGAGGGTTTAAAAGTTCCAATCAATCACTCAAGATAGAAGACATCTTCTGATAGCAGCACTGAAGCAGTCGGCTGTGCTGAGCAGACCATCCTGGCCAGCTGCAGACCAACTGTGTCCCAACAGGAGTCTCAAAGCCCTGCTCCTCACTGGTCTGGGGAAACCGGGTAGGAGTTTGATTGTTGCTGTTGTTGCTCATCCTGGTTTTGGCAGATATGTTAAATACCGCAACTTTAATGAGTCCTGTGTGAAAACAGAGCAAAGCCATTAGCCCTTTTCCTTATATTTCTCACTTGCTCTAAGACAAAAAGAACATTCACTTAGCTGTCAGTTGGGAAAAGGTGTGGGACCCTTCCCAAGGACTGCTCTCTGCTCATGCAGTACAAAAGAGCTTCTGTTAGAGGCTCCTTGGTCTGACTGGGGATGCACACAGAGTGGGGCTTGCTGACATTCTCAGGTTAAGAATGGCTGGGGTAGTGTCAAGCTTTCACCTGCTCCATGGAATGACAAAGCAGGTGGGAAAAGCTCTGGGAATCTGCCTGAGTGACCAAGAAGAGTGACCAAGCAGTAGAGGAGATGGGAGAAGTTGTTCTGCTGTCTAGAAGAATGGGTTATCAGCACTGGAAGTGCTCCTGGTACCATCAAGGACAGATGAGTAGATGGTGGCAAGGAGATTAAGGCAGAGGGTAAGATTGGAAATAAATTTAAAGAGTCATCTATATTGAAATGACAGCTAAAGCCTTGGAAAAAGATAAGGGAACCAAAAAAAAGGGGAGCTTAGACAGTAAAAAGTGCCTGAGACAGACTCTTAGGGGATATCTATGTTGTAGGGGTAAGAGGAGGAAGGAGATATAAAACGGGAAGAATAATAAAATGGCCGGGTGCCAGTGGCTCACACCTGCAACCCTAGCTGCTCTGGAGGCGGAGATCAGGAGGACTGAGGTTCAAGGCCAGCCTGTGATGAATAGTTCATGAGGCCCTATCTCAAAAACACCCACTAGCTAAGTGGCTCAAGTGGTAGAGGACCTGTCTAGCAAGCATGAGGCCCTGAGTTCAAACCCAAGTACTGCCACAAAAAAGGAGGGTGCTGGAGGTAGCTCAATAGTACAGCATGTGCTTAGTACATGTGAGATCCTTAGTTCAATATCCAGTAACCCTGCTAACACTCCAAATATCAAAATGCCAAAACTCTAAGGAAAAGGAAACTTGGGGCAAAAAGCATGGATAGGTACCTGATGATTATAGTACCAATAACAATGACCACTTGCTTTTGGGTGGTGCTGGGGATTGAACGCAGGCAAGATCTCAACTGCTGAGCTATAGCCTCAGCTCAACAATTACCACTTTTTACTGAGGGTTGATTATGTGCTAGGCACTAAGAATTGTAAAAACAGTACTCCATACAGTTTCCATAGAGCCCTGTGTGATGGGTTCAGCCTCCCTCATTTCACTCATCAGGAAATGAAGGCCTGGGAATGTACTTGCAAGGGCACACAGTCTATGTGGTTTGAGGAGCAAGCAACTGTGTGCTCTTTGAAAGTAGAGGCACGGAGGAAAGCCATCCTCAGAAGGAATACAAGAGGTACAGAAATGTGAATCCTCAGAAGGAATACAAGAGGTACAGAAGTGAATACTCACTTCTGTTGCAAGAACTGAGGAAAGCATAGAAAACAAGAAATCCTAATGATGGCAACATTCCCTAGTAGCTGGTGCCATTGTTTCCCAAACTCTCAATAACCTAATGTATTTGAACTGGGGAGGACACCAGGTGTGATCTGAATACACCATAATACAGATGACCTGTGTATTTTAGGATTTTCTCTGCCTCACAGAGAGGTCAGAGACCAAAGGGAAAGGATACAGAGTTTCACCAACTTCAGAGATACTGCCAAGATAACAAACAAACAACACTGGTATTCTCTTTTGTGGAGGAAATGAAGAATGGGGAGGAGGATAAAAAAGTTCCCATTTATACCCAATGACACTGCCTAAAACAAAACTGTGAGATGTCAGCTGAAAATTTCAGCAAGAGACATTTCCATGCACATGTTAGATTACCTGGTAGGTTTAAAGGGTCTCCATTGTAGGCATTTGTTTGATTTGTAAACTACAAAATTATAGGCTTTGGGCCATTACTGAGTTTACAAATTGATTCAAACCTCATTTTATTGTCATATCAATCCTGCTGAAAGAATGATTAGTTCTAATATACAAGGAGGATCCTACGACCCTCTAGAATGCAGACTGGCTACCTTACTGGAGGCGGTGTCCGCTGGGGTAGCCTTTGCCCCATTGCACATTGTCTGCGTTCCCAGCTTTACAGGGTTTGGCGAGACATAGGGTCTGAGAATGAGAAACTTCCAGGTGTTGCTGACATCTCACAGCAATATTCCATCTCCTACCTATAGTGGTATGTACGTAATTCTGTCCATACCTGGGCATGTATGAGGTCAGTGTTTGGTTATTTATCTGGAGATATAGGTGTATGTTCGAGAAGGGGAACGGGGGGGTTCAGCTTGGGCAGCTGGATCATTTAGGAAGTCCCAGATGAGTATTGTGTCATCATGTGAACTACTGACAATCTGGAATTCATCAAACTGGAGCCGGAAAACTCTTCCAGAATGCTCCTGTAGAAGCAGAAACAAAAAGGGTATGATTTTGAACTACTCAAAACCAAAGGATACAAAATTTAGCATCATGTTCAAAAGAACCTCTATGCAAAGGCAATGGTATGCTGATAATTTTCTCTCTACTATTTAGTTATCTCAAAAACACATCATGGCTAAAGACAAAATGAAGTATCAGACAGCTGATGTCATGAACAAAGTAAACAAAGTAGTAAGTACTACTTAGGCAAGATGGCAAATAGCAAGCTAGTTTTTTACTGCTAATTGTCCTTGATTCAGCCCAGAGAAAAATATTCTCGTATCTACCTGACCTTAATTTTAATCTGTGTCTCTACAATCAGGGGCAAAGGGGTGGTGAGCAAAAATAAGTGCTATGCTTATAAATGTTTAACAACTAAGCTTCGTCATTTTTTTTTTTTTGCAGTGCTGGGGTTTGAACACAGGGCCTACACCTTGAGCCATGCCACCAGACCATTTTTGTGATTTTTTTTTTTGACACAGGGTCTCAGAAACTATTTGTCTGGCTTCGAACCACGATCTTCCTGGATCTCTGCCTCCTGAGTAGCTAGGATTATAGGTGTAAGACACTGGTGCCTGACAGGTCTATCAATTTGTAAAACGATTTATAGATTTTTTTTTTCTTTTTGTGGCACTGGGGATTGAACGTAGGGCCACGTCCCTCGCCCTTTTGTTTTTTGTATTTGAGATAGCATCTTGCTAATTTTGCTAGTGCTGACCTCAAACTGTCAGTCCTCCTGCCTTTGTATCTCAAGTAGCTAGGATTATAAGCATGTTCCATCACACCAAACCCACTTACAGATTTTCATGGTGTATAAACTCCTACCACAACCAATTTGAAGCTACCCATAAATGGCCAACTAATTTGCATATTCATGACAACTTAACAATTGGCTCTCATAAGTGAGTATGAATCTAGTTTAGCACACTATGGGCAGTAACTAAGCAGCTCAAGATCAGCATCCCAGAAAGTACTCTCACACCCTTACTAGTCAATATTTTCTTCACTCCAGTGTGATCTTACTAATTTTTGCCTATTCCTGAATTTCATATAAGCACACCTATAAAGTATATATATATTTTTATGCCTGGCTTCTTTTATTCAACATTATAACATTCCTCTCTGTTACTACCTGTGCAATGGTAGTTCATTTCTCGCTCTCTCATTCATTTACTTGCTTCACTCTCTCTGGTGGTTCTAAGTGTTGAACTCAGGGTCTCATGCTTGTTAGACAGGTGCTCTTCCATTTAAGTCATACTCCTGCCCTTTTTGATTTTATTATTATTATTTTTTGTGGTACTGGGGTTTGAACTCAGGGCTTCATGCTTGCAAAGCAGGTGCTCTACCTCTTGAGTCATACCTCCAGTCTCATTTTAGGTACTTTTTAAAAATAGTCTTGAGTTTATGTCTGGGTCAGCCTGAACTGTGATCCTATTTATGCTTCCTGCAAAACTAGAATGACAGGCACATCTACCATGCTCAGCTATTTGTTGAGATGGGGTCTCACTATCTTTTTGGCCAGGATGGCCTTGAACTGGGATCCTTCCAATTTCTGCCTCCTGAGTAGCTGAGATTACAGCTGTGAAGCATGCCCAGCTCTCATTCTTCTTTTCTTACTGGTTGATATTCCACTGTATGAACATACTAAAATTTATCTATTCTCCTGTTGGTAGACGTATGAGCTGCTAAGCAGGCACAATGGTACATGCCTGTGATCTTAGCACTCATGAGGCTGAAGTAGGAAGATCACCAGTTTGAGGTCTGCATGAGCAACACATTGAGAACCTGTCTCAAAAAAGAAAAAGGCTGCTACAAACATCATGTCCATGTTTTTTTATGGACATATGCTCTCAATTTACCTAGGAGCAGAGCTGCTACTGGAAGGAAGTATATATTTAGCTTCAGGAGATACTACATTAGCAGGGTTTCCAAAGTTGTGCCATTTTGTACGTCATCAGCAATATATGAGTTCCAGTTGCTTTGCATCTTCACAAACACTTGATGCTGCTGATCTTTTAAATTTTAGCTTAATGTTGGTAGGGTTGTAGTGGGATTTTCTTTTTTGGTGGTACTGGGGTTTGAACTCAGGGTCTCACGCTTGCTGGGCAGGTATTCTACTATTTTAGCCTTTCCACCAGCCCTTGAAGTGATATTTTACTGTAGTCTAAATTTATATTTTTCCTTATGAATTTAAGAAAGCTCCCTTTTGTGCTTAATTTGCTCAGTTTTTATCATGAATGGGCACTGGATTCGGTCAAATGCTTTCACTGTATCTGCTGATATAATCATGAGATTTTTCTTCTTCAGCTTCTTGGTAAGATTACATCAATTGAGTTTTGAATGTTGAATCAGCCTTACATACTGTACCTGGAAAAATCTTTATACATTACTAGATTGAATTTGTTTACATTTTGTGAATTTTTAAAATTTTAGAGTTATTTATTTTTATTGACATACAACTAACTACCTTTTATTTATTTAATTTTATTTTATAATTTTTTGGGGTACTGGGGTTTGAACTCAGGGCTTCATGCTTGCAAGGCAGGTGCTCTACTGCTTGAGCCACTTCTCCACTTCCCAGTTTGTTTTTTGAGATAGGTTCTTGCTAACTTTTGCCCAGGCTGACCTCAAATGGGAATCCTCCCATCTCTATCTCCAGTGTAGCTGGAATTATAGGCATGTTACCATCATGTTCAGCCAACTACCTTTTAAATAATTTCACAAATTGTGAAGTCACTAAATACAAGGACAATAACAGGACCATACTTAAATCTTAATAAAAATATTTAAAAATTCTACTTAATAAAGTTGTAATTAGTAACGTAGTTAGTGATATTAGAATTTCTGCAAAATATTTAAAATTTACCACTTTATCCATTTCTAAGTCTACAGCTCAGTAGACTAAAATCGTTGTACAATGCACCTCCAAAACATTTTGATCTTGCAGATTTGAAACTCTACCAAAGTAAACAACTTCCTCTTATGTCCTTTTTCCATGCTCACAACCACCATTCTATTTTCTGTTTCTATGAATTTGACTACTTTAGATACCTCATATAAGTGAAATCAAACACTAGTTGTCTTTTTGTGACTCGTTTATTTCACTTATCATATAACCCTGAGTTCAGACCTTAGTTCTGCCCTCCTCCCCTGGTAGAACTGCAAGGAAAAATAGATCAATCCACTATTAAGTTGGAGGCTTCAACAGCTGTAACAGTAATAGACAGATGTAGCAGGCAGCAAATTCAGTAAGAACATAGTTGAACTCAATAGCGCCATTATTCAACTGGATATAATCTATGTCTTTAGAATGCTTCATCCAACAATGGCAGAATACACATTCGTCCCCCACTCCCACGAAACATTTCACCAAGATGAGACACAGTCTGGGTCACAGAATATCTTAACAAATTTAAATGAATAGAAATTGGGCTGGTAGAGTGGCCCAAGTGGTAGAGTACCTGCCTATCAAGTGCAAGGCCCTGAGTTTAAACCCAGTACCACCACCTAAAAAAAAAAGAGAAAAAAAAGGAAAGGTATGATGGTATATATCTTCAGACTACAATGGAGTTAAAGTAGAAATCAATCATAGAGAGGTAACTAGAAAAAATTCTCAAATATGTATAGATTAAACAACCCAATTCTAAATAACATATGGATCAATGAAGACATCTCAGGAAAAACTGAAAAGGAGTATGAACTAAATGAAAATTAAAATATAACTTACTAAAATTTGTGGGATGCATGAAAGCAGTGCTTAGAGGGAAATTTATAGCATATATTAGAATAGAAGAAAGATCTAAAATCAATAATCTAAGCTCCTAGTTGAGGAAATTAAAAGAAATGAAAATTAAGTTCAAAGTAAGAAGAAAATAAGTAATAAAAAAGCAGAAATCAATGAAATTGAAAATAGGAAATCAATAAAGAAAATCAAGATCAAAAGTTGGTTCTTTGACTGCATCAATGAAACCAGTAAACCAGACTAAGATAAAAAAAAGATACAAATTACTTCTCTCAGCAATAAAAGAGATTTCATGAACATTAAAAAGATAACAATAGAGTACTCTGGAGCCACTGTATGCCCACAGATCTGATCACCTAGATGAAATGGCCCAGTCCCTTGAAAGATACCATCTGCCAAAATTCAGACTTAAGCAGACAATCTGAACACATTTCTTACCTATCAAAGTTGAATCAATAATAAATAACCTTTTAAAATAGAGGACAGCAGGCCCAGATGATGGTTTACTAGTGAATTCTACCAAACATTCAAGGAAGAAATCATACCAATTTTTCTGCAATCTCTTCTATAAGACAAAAGCAGAGTGAATACTTCCTAATCCACTTACAAAGCCAGCATTATTCTAATACCAAAACCAGACAAAGGGACTAGAGGTGCAGCTCAAGCAGTACAGCACTTATCTTGCAGGCATGAAGCCCTGTAGTTCAAACCCCACAACCACAAAAACAAACAAACAAAAAAACCCCAAAAACAAAAACAAAGACTTATAAGAAAACCATAGACCAGTATCTCTCGTGAACATACCTGCTCATATGTGAGCTCATTTATCTTGAAAAGAATGGATAAATAATGATGCAGCCTTTATGGGAAACAGTATGGCAGCTCCTCAAAAAAATTAAAGATAGGATACTCATATGATGTAACAATCTCACTTTTGAGTATACACCTGAAAGAATTCACAGCAGGATTTTTTTTGTTTTGTTTTGTTTTTTTTGGTGGTACTGTGGTTTGAACATAGGGCCTCATATTTGCTAGGCAGGCACTCTGCTACTTGAGCCACCCCATCAACTCTTTTTTGTGTTGAGTATTTTGAGATAGGGTCTCAAGAACTATTTTTGTGGGCTGGCCTTGAGCCTTGATCCTCCTGATCTCTGCCACCTGAGATAGCTAGGATTACAGATCTGAGCCACAGGTGCCCAGTTTAAGAGATCTGCATATCCATGTACATAGCACCATTAT